CCATTTCACTTTACCTCGTTTCCCCTACTGTTGCTGCAGGTAACAGTACCCCTGCATCCAGAAGCACAGCATTAATAACACCGTGTTAATGTTCATGAGATAGATCCAGAAAAAGAACTTGAGTGTGTGTTTTTTTTATTTCTGAAGCCATACGAGATGAGGATGTGCTGCACATGGCAGATGCCAGCTGGCTGGCTGGGGGTCTTAGAGGCTCTGCACCCTGTCCCTGTCTTTCTCATCATGGCTCTATGTACGTCTTTGGAAATGCCACTTGCTGTGTGTGCAGTCACGTAAGAGTAGCCCTGCTATGCCTCTGCCCAGCTGGGAAGGATGATCCTCTTCCCTAGGAAAGGGATGGCCAGGGAACACAAGCCTTGACCATCTGCAGCCTTGACCCATGCTATGGGGAGCCCTTTGCAAGGAGCCAGGATTACAGGCGTGGGGAAACTTGACTTCACAGACCTTTCCTCCCATTAACGCCCCTGTCATTCTCTAGAACCTGTTCTTCTTATCCCAGCAATTTGTTTCCATACAGTTTGCCTGTGCTTCAGTCCCTGATGTTGTGTAGGTTACCTGAAGGGCCTTCATGTTTGAGGAGGTGATTTCAGGTACTAGACCATTTCAGGGTCTACATAAGGGTTACATGAGGGATCGGTTTCACCTAGGAGTGATCATACTTTCCATATCTTCAGTTGCAAAGTGATGACAGTATTTCTTACTTTCTAACATGTGGCTCTTGGTAACAGAAATGCCAAGTGTTACTGCAGTGTACAGTGTGCTGGGGCTCTGCTCCATAAGGCAGTTTTGAAATCTTTGGTTGTCCATAGCAACCTGCAGGCACTGAAATATCAACTTGCACATATGTGGGGGTTTGAAACGCTGCTGTTGCTGGAGGCTCCTAGGAAAAGGCTCTCTGCTTTATCCCTGTGTGGACCTTCTCCTCATTGCCCCTACCTATCCCATAGAGGTTGTGGCTCCTGCCAGCACAGCAGGTTTTACCAGGCTGCAGGTCCTCTCTGGGAGCTGTACACTGTGCATGGCCAGAGGGAAACCGGTACCAAGGCAACGTGTGCAGGGCAGTCCCAACCAGTGGCAGCCCCTGTGCTGCAAAGACACCAGTGCTCTGATGTCCACCACTACAGAGTGGGTGACAGAGCTGGAGCCACCACAGAGGACCACTGAGTTCACTGGTGATTGATGTGTTGTAAAAGGCAGACTTGCTTGTAGTTTAAATTAGGAGAGAGAGACCAGAGCCACTTCATCTCACACTCTCAGGCTGTGGTCTGGGCAAAACTCCCTGTGCCCCAACTAGCAGGAGGCAGGGCAGCATCCCAGGCTGTAGCCAAGTCACTGGTCCAAAGTAGTGGCTGTGTGACATGACTCAAAATTACAGTGTTCTCCCTTTGCTGGAAATGTCTGAGATTTAACTGATTGGGTCCCCCTGCACCTGTTAGTGACTTTGTCAAAGGATGCACCCCTCCTGTGCTTTGGAAAACCCTTGTGCCAGCCAGCTAGTGCACACTTTGTCCTAGTGCAGGGTGTTGTGACAGCCCTGAAAGGGTCACTGCTACGTGTGCTTTGTCACTACCTGTCACTGCTTAATATTCCTCTCTGCTGGGAGCCAGAGCCTGGACCAACTGCTCAGATTCACCAAGCAACTTTTGCAATATTAGAGTATGAAGACGTTTTCAGCAGCTTCTGTGCTTTTGGCAGCACCCAGTCCCTGCCGTAATTAGGCTTGGGTGTCCTCCAAAATGGCAAAAACTTCAAAGGCCCCAAGCCTAACCTTAGGGGAATGTAGGTGGGGCTGTGATCTCCAGGCAACGTCATCCTGGGAGTCTTTCAGCTCCAGTGGCCAGTTTACATACTCGAGACCTGACACAGCAAAAGAGAGACTTACAGTTTGATGGCTTCAGTCTTTTAATCCCTATTTCTACCAGCAATCCTTTTTCTACAAGTAGGCCCTCCTCGTGTAAGTAGTTCTCTTGGTTTCAGTGGAGTGTCTTTAGTGTACTTAATGTAAACTAAGACTACCTTTGGCATCTGTGGAATCCTAAAAAACTAAAACAGCAGGACACAACTGAGGGCATAGGGCTTTACAGACCCAAGAGGTCACACTGGAGTTTACATTTACTGCTGGCAATTCCAGGGGTTCACTAGCACAGCCACAGCAGATGAATTTCCCTTCTAACTGCAGAATAAACACTGCATGTGGGGTAAATATTAAAGGAATTACTGTAACAGGAAAGGAAAGGGAGGAGGGCTTCTTTGTCAAACAAAAAGGATGTCTGTTTACCTGCTGTCCCCAAGTAGCAGGCACTGCTCATTGGAGTGTTTTGGAAGTCAAGAGATAAAGCCTTAAATAGGGACAGCCAACACGCAAAGAAGAGAAGCGCTTTTACAGCTTTTCGAGTTTCGGGTAATTGTGGCCATTGCTAATTTTCATACCATGATGGCTTAACAGTTCTGTGCCTGTGATTGTGCAGCCCAGTTCACATGGGAAATGCTTCTTGGAGCCTAATAAGCACTAAGGTGCACATCCTGCGTGCTGCCATGGCAACGGCAGGATGCAGGAGGGCTGGGAGGGCTGGCTGCCAGGAGCTCCTGCACCTTGGCAAGAGAACTGCCCTTTGGATGTCCAAAATGGTTTCATTACCAGCCGTGGAAACTATCTGGTGTCTAGTGACTGATTCTTCAAATGAGTGATACCTCCCTAAGCTGAATGAACCCTTTGGTTGCTGGCTTCAGGTGTGTGCTGGTCCATCTAGCACAGCTGTGTAGTGGAGACAGTGCAGTGCAGAGGCCGGCAGCATTCGTGCAAAACTGTCAGTCCTGATGAGGAAGCCCAGGGAAGCTTCACTGATGGTGTTCTGGCATTCAATGTCAGACTGTGTTCTGGGGTTTTGTTTTCACCCTGCTTTCCCGGTTGTTGCTGGTGCCTGACCCTTTCACTGCTGCCAGGGCACATGCAGGGCAGCCTTCATGCCTTGCTGACCTTCTCTGGACAGGGCTGAGCAGCTCTGGGCTTGTGGCAGGAGGGTTGCTAACAACAAATTTTGTCCCATGGCAAACTCTGATGCTTTGACACTTATTTTTCCCCAAGGGAGGGACAAACATAGTTGTTTTCCTTGCTGAAAAAGATCATGACTCTGCAGTGCTGAGGCTGTGGCAGTGTCCATGGGAACTGGGAGCTTGGGTACCCCATGTTCTCAATTCTCCTCCACGGCCAAGACTTCCAGCAGGGCAACAACTCCTGTGCTGTGTCCTGGCCAAGGAAACCACATGAGGCCCTGTCTCTGGTAAGGGGGACAGTGGAATGGAAAATTAAATGGGGGAACATGGTCCATATAGGAGAATGGGGAAATGAAATAATTTAACTGTAGTTCCTATGAAGTACTCAAGCAACTTGGGTAGGAACCTGTTAATGCCAAGCTGAACCAAAATCAATTGTTTGTTGTATTTTTTTTTAATTCCATTTAACAGACTCAAGCAGTCTGATTAAATTCCCACAGACCTGAAACTGTTTTGCCATATCTTTACTCATGCTTTTGTAAAAATTAGTATTTCCCACTCTTAGGTCTTGACATGAAAGAAAGCAAGTGTTTTGCACCAGCCACCACTGCTGATTTCAGTTGTTGGACTTAACAATGGAGTTCCTGATACTGTTAAAACTGTTGCTACTGGGATGAGGGGAGTGATGGTTGATACAAAGCCTGGGGCTTTTTGTAAAGCTCTTAAACTGGTCTGTGATTTGCATACTATGCCAAATCCACCCCATGAACTCAGAGGGTGACTATCAAAATGATGATCTGAGTACCTTACACTTCTCTCTGCCGAGAAGTTGGGTAACCTGTACCTGAGGAGCTCTCCCAGGAAGAGCCTGCATTGTCTTAATGCCAGCATGGAGTGACTTGTGTGACATATGCTCCACGTGAGTTCTCTGCACCCTCCACAGGTGCATCATTTGGCTGAAAACAGACAATAATTATTGCTAATTACGTGTTGCTCTGCTACCTGCTAATTAAGGAGAGCTGCAAAGCTGAGATATGTGTTCTCTGGAGTAGTGACCACCTGACTCAATGAATGCAGAGGTGGAGGATAAAAGTTTGATCAGAGAGAGAACTTGGAATGGCTAATACAACAGTGGTTGGTTGGGGTTTTTAAACCTTCTTCAGGATTTAATGATATTCATGTTCAGAAATACAGCAATATTGATTTGCAGAAATGTATGTAAATGTCATAGTTGCCAACTCTAGGGAAGTGAACACACTGCAGTAGGAAAAGCTATTTCTTCTTATCTGGCTGGAAAAACAACCCAGTTTTGTTGGCACAGATGCATTTTGGAAAATTAAAGAGCAGGGAAGGAAATGACACAATGGTTCTACAGGTGTGCAGAAAGGCCATCAGGAGGGAGCTCCCTTGCTCAGCAGGCTTCAGAGAAGGCTGAGGGGAACTGCAGCAGTGGCTCTCACTGCTGAAAATTCAGCTGGGTTTCCTGAGGGTGAGCAGTTGTGGCAGGGGCTGTGCTGAGATGGTTTCTGACAGGCTAAACAAACCTCTTGATCTCAGTGTTACTGGCCGACAGTCCCTGTGCACTGCAGAGGGACAGGGATGGTCAGATGCACATCTCTGGCCGTGATTTCACCGTGGTATCTAGGCTGACAAATGTCACGGGGAGTTTTCTTAATATAACATGTCCATTGCAGAATTTCTTTATAGTTCCAATATAAGGCTGGCTTTCAAAACCAGAAAGGTACCATCCAGCTTCTAAAATTAACATCTGATTAAAGCCTGGCTCAAATGAATGCTTTAAAAACTCTTGTTATATCATGAGATAAAAATGTGCCTGAATATGGAAAACCTGTACAAAAATATTCATGATGTGTTTCATTATGTACCTTCCTTTACATGGCATCTGATGATAATCAGGATCTAACTTACTTATGGGGTTAGTGAACCATGTTATTGAGGTGTTCATGTCTCTCAATTCTGCATCACAGCAGCTGAAGCTCAGTCATAAGAGAGTGATGACTAAATGACAACGAGCAGATGATGTGTCTCCTAATGATCCTATGGGAAGTCAGCAAACTGGACTAAACAGGAGACTTCCTGTGGACACACGGATGTCCCAGTAAGTACTTTCTCAGTCAGATTCTGTGTGTGAGTTCCTGTGGGAGGGAGAGGCAGATTGACTTTACCTGTAAAATGCACTGAGGATATCACAGGAAAATATTTTGCATCAGGGAATGAAGTACTACTCCTACTTCTGTCAGTGGTGAGATCATTTTGATAGTGTGCTGTTTACTTCCTTTGGAAAGAAATAGCAGCCACTGCAACACAATTGGGGAAATGTAGATTTTATTCCCAAATCTATCAAGTCCCAAACTGAGAACGTACCCACTTGCCTTAATATCTCCTCATCTGTTAACTACATAAAATATCCATTAATTTACAATAATTTCAAGAGATTACATTAATATAGCATTGCTAACATGCTTGGATTCTATCCAAGAGAAGATGCTAAACAGGTATAAGATACTATTAATTTCATCAGTAATGAAATATCTGTAATACAAAGTAATTTTCTTGTGTGCTAAGATTTCAGTATAGTCTAGCTTGCTTGGAGAACTTAATGAAACTATGGCATCAATAGATAATACAATTGCAAACCGAATAACCTGGAAGAGTTTTTGGTCCTCCAGCTACATGACTTTTTATTTAAATTTGCTTGTTAAACTGAATTCCAATAATTAATTACCATTTTGCAGAAAATATATATTTATTAAGAATTATCTAATATCACTGTGCAGCAAAGACGACCTTTCAAAAAGCTTTAAATACAACCTCAACAAGAAATATTCTTGGCAGCATCAGTGTCTTCATGGTAAAAAAACCACAAAAAAGTTAGTCCATACAAGAACCAAATGTTTAGCTCTACTTTACATATATCTAATAGTAACAGGAAGGGAATGGAGTGACTTGATACACAACATGAAGACATTACCTGATATTGTACTATTATTAAAACCTTTTATCGGTCAAGGAGACCCAGCAGAACAGAAACCATAGTTATTTCATGGTAGGACTAGTTTTACAATAGTGCACCCAGTTGGCAAACTCCTTTAAATAAAAGCAATGAAAGCATCTGAAGCCTTGGGATAACCATTTTTCCAGCAGTGAGGAATCATGTTCCTCTTTCCTAAAATGAAGCTGCATTCACTGGGACATTGGATACAGACTGTTTTGTGTGGGTTTTTTGTTTTTCTTTTTTTTAGCCCGGGTAAAATCCTCTTTGTGCACGTGGGTGCCTACTCCACTGGCACTGTCTTCCCAGAGGAGCTCGTGGAGACCTAAATCAGGCCTCTAAAGGTTAACCTGCGGGAAGGCGGAGGATGCCGGGAGGGAATGATCACCCAGCTGGTCTGAGGCTGGTGACGTGGGCTGGTAACCTGAGAGCCTGTTGCACAGCTTCTGTGCCTGGAGTTGCTGTGGGATCAGAAGGAGCTGGCTGGCTCTGTCCTGGTTTATGCAATGCCCAGTCCCCTCGGCCGCACTGCCCTCCTGAGCGGGAGCCTTTTGGCTGGGTCTGAATTCGATGTGCAGCGCCTGCTCCCACTAACTCACTGACTGCACGGTGCTATTCTGCACTGCCCTGCCTGGATTATTCGGGAATATCTGGGAACATGTGTTCCTGAACTGTCTGTTATCAGCAAGTCCAAGAGCTGGGAAGCCCTAGGAAGCTTTCACTGTACTCCATTTATTTTTCCATCCCCTCCCACACACCCTACCACTACACCAGGCAACAACACAGGATACAGTAAAATGGTTCCTAGAAACATGTCATCACTGTCAGTAAGGCTTTTTAAATTCGTGTTTTAAAATATCCCAAACTACAACTTGGTTTCAAACAGTACCTTCACAGAGGTGCTTATCCCACAGGATGACTTGGAGAACCCATCTGATTTCAAATAAATTCATGGTTTTCAGAAGGAACAATTTCCTTTGTTATCCCATCTGGGCAGGCATGTTGTTGTTATATATGGTCAGAAAATGGAAGTGAAAATGCAAAAGCTGTGGTACAAAACCTCTTCTTGTTGCCATTGGCACTTGAAATGTGCTGCATCATCAGGTTTGATGTTCTGAAAGAAAGTTTTTTTATCTGCTGATCCTTTTTTGGCCCAGGTGGATGATTCTTAGGTTCTTTCCTAATGTCTTAAATAGCAGTGATAATGTGCAGCCTATGGAAATCTGCAGCAACTGTTAGGTACTCATTAGTCACTGACACAAAGCTTTGTACATCAGAATCTATCTACAGGTGCCACAGGGAGAAGGCAAGAAAGAAAAATGTGTCATACTCTGAGGTAAACAGCTTTATTCCCTATTAGTCTGCCAGAGGCTGAATTAGTAATTTATGAAGCACTTTGCCACGATGAGATTTGTTTAGTCCACTTAGGATTTGTTTTTTGCTGTTAACACAGAGCTAAACAACTGAGACTGTGTCTACATGCACTTCTGCAGATAGGAGCTTGCTCAGTGCTTGGTGCCTGCCAGCTACAAGCCACATCACCGGCAGCATGGCAGTGTTGTTTGCACAGCATGGAGGGTAGGGCTGATATTCCCACAGTTACTCATCTCTGCACCCCCACTTTTCCACCAGGTGCTGTAGCTGCTTTTGATTTGTTAGCAGGATGGCAGGCTCGCTGTCTGCCGAACAGGAATGTAGTGGTCCCACATAGAGCACTGCCCGGGAGGCCAGGAGGAGGGCTGGTGATGGCCCTGAGCAGGGTGGGGCTCATCACATCTTCATCCAGCTCTGTGGCAGCGTGGACAAAACGTGGTTCTTCTGCCTAGGGAATACATCTGTGGGAATATAGGTTTTTTCCCATTTTTAACACACCCTATTTTTTATTAAGATTTGAGAAAAGTAGAAGTCCATACTGTTAAGACCACCAACAAACTTTCAGGAAAAAGCAGACATTGCCACAGGAAAAAAAAAAAAGGGGAATATAGAAAAGAAACACAAATCCCTATTACAAAAAGTAAATCCAAACCAAATTAAATTTTCAAAGCCTCCTTCCTGGACATAAATCCCCTATTTTTCTTTTGAAGGTCAGCATTAGATGATGCAAGACCAACACTGAACTTCCAGGCCATTAGCCTCTTTGGAGCCAGGCAGCAGACAGGGTGATGTGGTATGTCTGCATACCTCCTCCAGGCACTGAAGAGGAGGTGAGAAGCAAAACCCTTCCTACAGTGGAAGGAGTTATGAGATCCTTCTCATCTCCAAGGGAATGTGCTGCTGCCACAGGGGTGCCAGGGGACAAACTCGTGGATTAGCCTGCAGGAATCACTCCTGACGGAGACAGGGCTGGCAAAAGGAGAAGGCATTTGAAAGCAAAGCCTTTTGAAATGTTGCCTCCCCCAGCTAAAACCGACAGGAAAGAGCTGGCCTTGCTGGTATTTGAAGGGTTTCTGAGCCACTTCAGACAACTCTCTGGTGCCAACTGCCCTGTGCAGAGTCACATGTGTGTGAAACAAGTGACTCAGCTCACTGGGGAAGGCAGAGGTCTGCGCAGAGCTCGGTTTATCACTGGAACTGCCTTAGTCCTCCGACTGGAAGCGTTTGTCTCTGGCATCAGCCAACCAGCCAAGGCAACGGGGTTAGTTTAAGGGAGCACTTCACATTTTTGTTTGCGTAAAGCTGGTATCTCTTTTCCCTATGTGAGCAGGAGTTACTGAACTGGTTTTCCTGTGAAGAGAGTGGGAGTTATTCTGGCGCAGCTGCAGAGGGAAAGTGTTAATCCCCCCCATCTGCCCTTGCTAAACTTTTTAAGTAAAGATTAGTTTGATGAAGGAGCAAGGCTAGGAGGTCTGGTTTTTTGCTACAGCACTCGCTAGAGACCCAAGAAATGGCAATCGTTGAGTCGTAGTGGGCTTTAAGCCCTCAAATCTTTGAGACTTGTGCACAGGAAAAGACAAGGAGGCACTAGCTCCTATGCTCTCCATCTATATGGGGCAAAGTTAGATCCAAAGTCCTCTAGTCCAAGCCCAGATTCACAGCAGAGCAGGAAAGTTACCCTAGAACTACCCCACATCAGGGATTTCACATAAGTCATCTGGCTGATGTGTGTGGGATTCATCACAAGAGGGAAGTGAAGAACTTCCATGAACACCTTGCAGGACTGTGTTCTCAGATGAAAACATCTGCTAAAATGTGCAAAGCCCAGGAAGAAAAGGCTACATTGGTGCTGCAGGACATGGCTCCTCTGGAAAGAATAAGAATGCTGCACATTCTGATTGTTCACTTTGCTTGCTTGCTTCCCCCCCCCATGGTATTTACAGTGCCCTGGTACTCATTCAACTTTCTTAGCTAACAGGTGGGGAGGCAGACAGACCTGCCTGAAATCCTGGCATCAGACACCTGGCAGTCCTTCCTGATTCAGGCACCTTGCAGGTACATTGCCCTGAGGCAGGGGGGAAGCAGGCAGCTTGGATCTGTGTTCCTATGCCAGGACAGGACCCCAACAGAGTGGGGGATTCCCTACTGCATCTGTCCCACTGACTTCTGCAGGAAATACCTCTCAAACCTGTGTGGCTTTCCCAGGAGTCATCCATATTTCCCTAGGGCTGAATATGGTGTGCTCAAGAGATGCTGAAGGCACCAAACCACTGTCTTCTAGGGTCTCCAGACTGCCAGACTGCCTGCCTGTTAAATAGGCACTGAAGTGCCATTAGGGAGTTGAAGTGACATCAATGTTAAAAAACAGCTGACTGAACCTGTAGCTTAATTTAGGAGCTTGTCAGACATATGGTAATGGCCTGGTAAGGCTTGGTTAAAGGTGGCATTTGCAGACTTCTGTACATTTTTAATCTCTGTGTACAATACAATATTGCACATTAGCTTTTGCTCCTGCTGGCAGATTTCTTGTGGGAAGATTTACTTTGGGACTTCAGTAGCACTAAATACAGAGGAACTGACAGAAATAGGGAGTTTGGACCAATGTCTCTGCTGGCATAACTCCATTAGAGCCAGAGGGTGAAATCGCAACCCTGTTGAGATGCATGGGACTTCTGCCAGGCTTGCGACTGCTGAGAACTCTTTTAACAACTCAACCCTGATTTTGCTTTGGAATGAAACCTCCCTGTGGATCTTAGCCTAGGAACACTTGCATCTTTCACACAGAAGAAAAATGTTCTGCAGCAAGCAAATGAACTTGGAAATGATTTTAACTTCATCAGTGGAACCCTTGCAATAGACATTCATTGCGGGCTAAATTTGGCTAGTGTGGTAAGACACTGAGTGAGTAGTACACAGACATTCATCTCCTTCAGAGATGGAAAGGCTCCTGCTTTGGCTGCAGTCACAGTTTATTGGACGTGCTCCCTGTTACTCCCATGAACCGCACAAGCAAAGTTCTGGTGCTCTCAGTGTGACCCATTCATGCAGTCAGTGCTCATCAACAATTGTTTTAAGACCAGGAACCCTAGATACTGACAACGTATCTCTCTCTTCTCTTTACATTGTATATTGCTCTCCTGGCTTCTGGGCTTCCTTTTCATGCCTACCCATTGCTTCAGGGTATTTGTGAGTCTGCTGGAAGGTCTTGGGGCTGAAGACAGACCTGCATCAAAGCCCTTTTTTGTGTAATACTGACTATACCCCCAGCAAGGTCAGAAAGCCGGTGCTCCTATCACCCACAGCTGCGCCTTGATAGCCTTACGGATCTGAGGTTAAAAACGAAGCAGGAAAAAAGGTGCTGGAAAACCAAAATAAATTAATAACAATTCTGGTTTCTTTATAAAGAAGCAGGATGGGGAAAACTGTTTTGCTTTGCAGGTCACCTTCACAGCAAACAGGAATCATTCAATCACTGCTGGATAATACCAAGGGCACTCTCAGAGGTTGGCAATTGGAATGATTAAAAAAATATGAGCAAGATTTTAAGTGTCTCTTTGTGAAACAAACAGAGCAAAATTGTTCATCAGTGGTGGAATAGGTACTGTAAACATTGTCTTAAATGAATCTGGAAGGAATTTGTAAGAGAGAAGATGACCAGCTCTGCCTTCCCAGCACAGTCCCAGCCCCTTACAGAGGGGAGTTTGTGACCTTGCCTTCCTATTACACACATCAAGCTTCCTGGAGCTCTGTGTCTCTTTTTGCATTTGAGAAAACATGAAATATTTCACAGCATCACAGGATCAATGAAATTGGCTGGTGAGCTAGCACAAGTTGCCAAGGATGGTGTCCAGTTGGGTTTTGAGTATCTCCATGCAGGAAGACTCCACAATCTCTCTGGGCAACTGGCTCATTTTGGGGCACTCTCACAGTAAAAAAAAAAATGGTTTTTTTTGTGTTAGGGTGGAATCTGATGTGTTTTCATTTGTGCTTCTTATCCTGTCAGGGAACTCTACTGAAAAGAGTCTGCCTCCCTTCTGCCTGTGCTTGGGATGGACCTTCCCAGTGCTTGGAGGAGGCGATCTTTGAAAGCCAGGCATCTTTTCTGGACACCTATGGTCTCCAGGACCATATCACAAGCAGAATTCTTGGTCGAAGTCTGCTGTTCAAAACCAGAGTTGTGGTCCTGCCTTTTGCGCCACTCTCCTGCCTTAGGGTCCCGAACTCCACCATCTCACAGTCACTGCACCCAGTGCTGACCCCGCCTTCATGTCCCCAACCAGTTCTTCCTTGATTCTAAGTGTGAGATCCAGGCAAGCACCTTTGCTTATTAGCTCCTCGATCAACCATGCCAGGGAGCTGTCAGAGCGCTCTTGAACTCCCCTACATTGCTTGGGCCCTGATGTATCGTCATTTCTAATTTAAACCTCTTCCTACCAGCTTTAAAATTAACCTTAGTATAAAATAAATCCACCTCCTTCTGTGCTCACTGTCAGCCCCTGTGCTCCCTGCTGCAGGCCTGGGGCAGCATTTGCAGGTGTACTGACTGCAAGGTGGCTTGGAAGCCCAGATCTGGTGTCCTTCGCACGTCTCGAGCTGCTCTGTTACACTGGCACTTGCCTTCCTGGACAGATGTTCAC